TGGGCTTTGTTTGACACGGCTGAAGATGAACCCTGGCCTAGACTCAGACTTAACTAGGTGGGTTCATAGTGCAAATGCACCACCACCCTATTTAAATAATATATACTTAAAATGAAATCAGTTAAATAAATCACTCTGTCAAGAGCAGTTTTTTGCCAGAAATGTAAGGCTGCCGCATCCATTACAGGGGGAATGTAATCCTGTGCAAAGCAAAATGTGTACTACATCCTAATATTACACGGACATAACAGCATTGAAAATAACCTGTCATCGCTGTACGGTGCACTATTTATACAAACGAGAATTTTAAACCGTAACGTATAACCTTCCTGAGCGGGACACACGTAACGAAATGCCGAGCATGAAGAAAAGAGAAAAAACAACTCGCGACTTTGCGAGTTTCTTACATCGTGGCGAGCGCTTCTTTCAAGTGCGGTGATTATTCTGTTCACTGGAACTCAACCGAATTGTACAGCCACGAATTGGGGTGTGGGAGACATGCCGCCCGTCCGGCCCATGTTTCATCGATTACCCCCGCAAATACTATTTTCATTTTGGCCCACCACTGCCGAAACGTAAATGTAGTTCAGGAACTTGGCTGCAGTGGTGGCACAGTAGTTAGCACACTGCACTATCACCCTGGGACATACATTTGATTCCCAGGTACGGCTAACGTCAGGAGTGAGTGACATCGAGAGGCTTTTCCTTCACCAACGCACGCTGAGCAGCATGGTGAAGTATGGTCAAACAACCCCCATGATAGACAGAGCTGCGGGGTGGGCTTAATCCGGTAGTTTGTTGGCAAAGCCTTGTAAATTATGACTATAATAAGGAACACATAGATTGAATATTTGAAAATGAAATGTCAGCTGGGTCACGTAGTTGCATTCAAGAAAGCACTTTTTAAGATAACTGGTATAATATTAGAATAGGTTTTCCCTTTTTTCTGGCAACAAAACAGGGGTTAAGATCTACACTATGGGGACCTCATTTGCCAGTAAAAATATGATAATTGGTTCTTTACCCTTCTATCTGGCAACAAAACTGACACCTTTTTGCAAGGAGTCATGTTTGCATAGACCGCAATACCTGCAGTCATAAATACAAACAAAAGACATAACTCTGATAATGTGCACTGTCCTTGAAGTTGATTGGTCCACACCCGAGACAGCTTTCCTTCGAGCCTAGTCTCATATGGGTTGGACCAGATGACGCCAAAAGGCGCCTTTTGGCGTCATCTGGTCCAACCCATATGAGACTAGGCTCGAAGGAAAGCTGTCTCGGGTGTGGACCAATCAACTTCAAGGACAGTGCACATTATCAGAGTTATGTCTTTTGTTTGTATTTATGACTGCAGGTATTGCGGTCTATGCAAACATGACTCCTTGCAAAAAGGTGTCAGTTTTGTTGCCAGATAGAAGGGTAAAGAACCAATTATCAGGGGTTAAGATGTTAAAACACCAAACTGAAACCTTTTACAAGGAAGCATGTCTGCATTAACCACAATACTTGTGGTCAGAATGCAAACAAAACAAATAATATATGCATTGTCTTGGAAAATGATTGGTCTACACCAGAGATAGCTTTCTTTTGAGCCTAGTCTCAAAATGGTGTTAGACCAGAGGACGCCAAAAGGCGTAGTGGTATAATATTGTTCTGTGCAGCACACTTTTGCAAAGCTAAGCAGTAATCCATCGGCATTTTTGGGAACCATTTAGCTGCAATTTCATTTATCATAAATGGGATCTGCCTCTTGTGTTTAAGATTCTCATCCACTATTCTTTGCTGTATATTGTGTAGAAGGGGGGGGGGGGACACATCTTGTTGAAATTACCCCTGGCATTTCCAGAGGCAAAGGCTCGCTGCACGGTGGCATTTAATTCACATGGGAATAAGAAAGAAAAACCCCAAATATATATTTCTCCAATGCTTCCTCAAATCCAGCTGTCACTTAGCAAACGAAGGCTCACAGTGATGTATTGTGGAAATACGGCGCAAACGTTCCTCCACATTTATCAAAGTTAGCCCTGTGGCAGTTGGGCCATGATTCTCAGAGGTCCGGCCGTGTATTTTCGTATTTTTCTTTTAAGCATTTTTCATTCACCGCATGCCTGTGGTTTCTGCTTTTAAGACTCACTTTGACGGCACGCATGGGGAAAATCCGGTGATCTCATTAATGCTGCATTGCCAAGCAAACCAAGAATAATTCGTCGAGAACACAAACGCTCTCTTACTTTGCATGAAAATTAGCTTCGTGTTCATTTTCCAAACTGCCAAAGCACAAACAGTGGCACGGATCACAACTCATTGAACGATTATGGGAAGTATGCTGGCGACAGCACTGATTGCAGAATGACGTGGGAAAGGCAATTTGTGTAAAAGGTACAAAGAATTGCATGTAAAAACAGTAGGAGTGATAATTATCATAATAATGCCTATTATTTACCCTGTACAGCCTCGCCGAGTATTCAAGAATGCATTTTCAGGAGGTCCCTGCATTAGGATCTTTGGCCAGTGCCAACCCGATGCATACGAAACCCCGGATTTGGCCCGTAATTAACAATTTTTCAACACGGTGTTTGTTTCTCATAACCTAACTGTTCACAGCAGTTGGCGAGGCCCTTTCGTTAACTGCACGGCTGACAACAGAGTGAAGGCCCCGTTATCACCGCTGCTACGTTTTCACCATCGTTGTATTAACCACATTCATGTGCTCCTGGAGTAATACCTATTCTCACATTCGGTGAGAAGTATTTTTTTATGTGGAGAGACAGATATATAAAGGTGGCATTGCTTCTAGATTTGAAACTTTCGTGACTGCAAGGATTTATACTCTTAGGTTTTTTCGGTAAAGTCACGTAGATAAAAAGAAAAAGAAAAATATATATATAAATATTAATATTATTTAAAAAAATTTACCTACGTGATAAAAAATGTATAGAAATATTTCTATTGTTTTTATTATTTATTTTTACCTACGTGACTTTACCGAAAAAACCTAAGAGTATGTGGCATTGCTTATTTATTTTGTTCCCATTAGAGATTTTTTTTACGAGACGTAAAACACTTTTTGCTCCAGATTTTTAAAAAAGAAAAATTTTTCATACCGTGTTTGGATATTTTGGTAAATTAAGATTTTTTTAAAAAGTGGCATCCCTCGATGCCACGGGACACCCAGTTTTTTAGGTAAAACGCAAAAAAAAGCGGTATTAATTCTTATGTTGGATTATCCAAAGCAAAGCAAATTATTCGGACCATCTGATTTTCTGATTGTTTTTTCAGCTAATATGATAATTCCCAAAAATATGGAGCACATGCGGAGTTCACACACACGCACGACAAAAACAAGTTGGTGCAAACAATAGCCGTCTTGTTTACTCCGCATATCGTCATTTCACTCCTGGAAAAATAACACGATTAACAGTACAGGCTATAAAGACCCCCCCCCCCATCACAATCGTGAAACACGCACTTGCCTTCCTATCAAGCCAATAATATGGGCAAAGGGTGGTTCTGCTGTGAAAAACTAAATTCCCAGAATGTAGTCTATATTGTTATACATATATATACACACTAGACTGACTAGAGTATGCATTTTGAATTGAGACAGCAATAATTCTCAGTTCTGGTGGCGAAGCAGCTTCTGTGCCGCCAGCCCCTGCGGTGATGTTTGACACGTGGCGTACCGTACACTACATACCAGCGTAAGATACCACCGCAGTAGACACACAAAATTAAACGAGAGCGGTATCAATATTTGAAACTATTAATGACGACGGGGGTCTCGCGTTTTTTGCCAAAACACGCTGAACCGTCCGCTCATGTTTGTCCTGCGCATTAAAATTGTCATTGGCTTTGTTGATGAATGCAAACACGTGTGCAGCATCAGGCAGCTTTTACAAATACAGTAGAACCTCGGAGATAGAACGCACCAGAACTCGAACAAATCGGTGTTCGAACGACATTTCTGAACATTTTTTGCCCCGGAAACCGAACGAAATTCGGAGGTCGAACGGGCAATCGCGACTTGAAAGAACCTGTATGGCTGAGACTCGCATGGCCAGCGTGCATGACGCTTGCCCAGACAACGTTTTTACCGTGTGAGAGGCTCAGTTAACACGGAGCTCTCACCCAGTGCAGACCCGCAAAACATCGTTCCTTAACTTTTTCGTGAATTTGCTTTATTTTAGTTTTTTTTGGTGTTTATCCATACACAATGTCTCCTAAGATAAGGCAGTATCCAACCGAGTGAGCAATCTTTTTAATGATAATGCAATGTGTTATTTTCGAAACATCCTAAAACAAAGGCAGAAACAAACCTTTTTAAAATAAGTTTTTAGTCAGAAAGAGCTCAAGTGACTCACAGTTAGTGGCAGAAAAGAGGCACAAAAGAGAAAGAACCCCAGAAGGGCAGTTACCCTCCTTACTACAGGTAAAGTGAAGTTCAATGTTCATTTATTTCATTTATTCCATATATTTATTCCATTTATTGATTGTGTTTCTTGTTTTTGTATGATTTTATGCATGTAATTATTGTAAACTTCGTGTAAAAATGCTTTATAATGAGAGATTTCTTGTGTCTGGAACCAATTAATGTCATTTATATGAATTCTTATGGGGAAAATTAATTCGATGTTCGAACAAATCGATGTTCGAATGGCTTTCTGGAACGAATTAAGTTCGATTTCGGGGTACCACTGTATCAGCCTTCCCGGCGTGTTGCCTGTTTGGGTTGTATCAGCCAAATGAACAGTATCGGTGGGCTGTTACTCTCAAACATCCGAACAAAGGAATGAATCAATAGAATAAATCAAAGGAATGAACCGATGGTAGACAGCTGTGGCGGGACTTACGTCCGGCTAAGTAATATTCTAAAAAGTCTGTCAGAAATTCTCAATTATTCAATACCACCTGGAGATCCGAAGTCGATAAATAAAAGATTTGCATTTCAAAAAAAGCAACTTTAGCCCACAGAGAAGATCATCACACGCATTGCAATCTGCTTTTGAGATTCCTTTAATGGGTATGATATTTACAAGAACAATTTGAAGATAATAATCATAATAACCTTTTCTCAGGCGCGACGGAACTTTTCTGTTCTAACAAAGAACGTCCATTCAATGCCTGGCTGAAACGATAACTAACATATGTAGTTTATTCGTTATATATCTTAATGTAAAGATTTTGGCATTAATTATAAAATGAGCACAAGTATGACGAGTGTAAGATATTGATATTCATTTCGCCAGCTTGTTTTGCCTTTCCATATAGCCTTGTCACACAACTTGCAGAAAATTAAATTGTACGTAACTTCGAAATTAACAGCTGGTTGGAGATTTAAATTCGCCTTTTATCTGGAAAATAATCGTTGCCCAATTATATGAGATCGCTCGTAGGTTTTAATTTTACAAACTAAATTACTCGAATTTTAGAAAGCATCCATAGTCTTCAACGACAAATGTACAACCACTGCAATGGCAATTAAACTTAATCTTTCTACCATACATTGCAGATAATAACTTAAATGCAATGTTTTCATCACTAGTCAAGCTCCAGATATACTCATTAAAACATTTGAAACGTATCTAATATTTGACTCAGAATTCCCATGACCATACTGCATGTTTTAATTGCCCGTTATTGGTAATTATTACCATAAAAAATAAATATCACTTAACACATCTTCACTTTTGTAAGCGGAACTTCCCCCGTATCCAAATGGGTACACATTTCCAGTCCGCTAAACCTGAAAAAGCTAAATTGAATAATAATGCCAAAGCAGCAGTATTTATTTAAATTTCTACTATTCTACATGATTATTAAAAACAAACAAAAAATTGTGACATTTCAATCCTATGCACTTTGTACGTATTTCTTTCGTTTTTCACGTAGTTCCCCCCCCCCCCTCTTCTTACATTTCATAGCGTTTTGTCCGGAGAAACGTCTCACCCAAAGCAAACATCCTGAAGCTTGCCGCAAAAACGAATACGAAGTTGAAGACAGCCCAATGTGCAGACGAACAAAATAAAAGTAAGCTGAACGTGATTTTTTCTTTAAACGGATTCCAAAAAAAAAAAACGATTCAATAATTTCTTTGCAGGGGAAAAAAACTAAATTTAAAAAAAATCACTTGTGGCGTCGTCGAACATTCCGGCTGAAATGTAATATCGTGCATTGTTGAACACGTATTCGTTGCAGGCCGACGCCAAGGCAAGTCTTCTCAGTTTAGGATCACACGCACAAGTTCTCGTGACACTCGGAAATATTTCCACTCCCGATATTCACGGGGGACACATCCGCGCGTTGCCATCTCAGGGTCGCTCCCGTCTGCGCCGTCGTCGCTGCTGCCGCCGCTGCCCGCCGCCGCTGCCGCTACTGTGACCTCCCAAAGAGTCCCCGCGTCTCCCGCTGCGTTCGCCCTCCAACCGCTCCGCGTCGTCGCCTCTGCTCCCGACGTCACGTGCGATTGCACCACCCCCCCCTCCTCCACCCCCAGCGGGATTTGTCCGAGAATTATGAGTCCCGCTCATCATCCTCTCATCCACTTCTTGACCACTATTGGGTGACCTGTAACCAGAGCGAGCAGGATATTAGTTAAACAGCCATTCGTACAAAAAAAAGTTTAACAATTAATACGCTTTGGTTCTTTCGGTAAAGTCACGTAGGATAAAATAAAATACAATTATTTTATACCTACGTATGGATTCCTGCAGTCACGAAAGCTTCAAATCAAAGTTAACAATTAAGTTAGACGTGCACTGCCGTGGACAACGTAACATTAAGAAGGGACATGATCCTACTTTAGATGATCTTTGTCGCTGTCTTTTTTGTTTGTTAAGACAGCCACAATCTTTTTCACGGGTGTAGAGATTTGTGCATCGCACAGTGAAGGTGGCAAAAGGCGCGGCGCTGAAACGTATCGCTCGCGCCATTGCTGGCGGGAAAAGGGGCCCTTCCCACTTGGCGAGAGCTCCGGACAACTTCACGAGAGAGTGCGTTGGCCTACTCTTCCAGGCTGGCCAGACACCATGAAAGAAACTATCGACAATTTGTTCGATTTATTTGACCAGAATCCCACTGGGCTACGTTGCTCTTTTTTCAGAAGTGATCTGGCTACAAATGATAGCTCAATGAAGTTGCTTATCACCCTGTAGACATTTATAGCAGCCAAATGCTCTAAATGCACGTCGATCTTAAATGTGGAGGGAGAAACTGGAGAACAGGTATTGTCAGGGTCGGGATCGAACCCACGACCTCCTGTATACCAGGCGAGGTAGTTCATATGTCGCTACAGTGAGGTGTGGAGAGGCTTTCATTCAGCAGAGGATCGATCATGGTTGTGCAGGGTGATATTTAAATAAAAAGCAAGACTGTTTAGTTGATGTTTCCTCTTAACACGTACAGTTTATACGTGTCTATCTATTTACGTGCTAATTCTCGTCATTTTCCCGTGAAATGCACAGGAGGCATAGTCGAGCAACATTAATCACTGAATACAATTGCAGGTAACCTCGTCGCAAAAAATAAAACTTTAATTCAGGATAACACCTCTGGAATAGCTAAACAGCGTTCATGATGTGTTTGAGAGATGTCAAATTTGGCATTTGTGTCTCTTGCATGGCTATTTTTTCCATCTTTTCAATGCGCTGCAGAGAAGCTCAGATATAGTAAATGTAATTATGAAATAGCAGTCCAAAATGATGTCATTTGCAGCATCAACACAAATATATATACTTTTTAAAGAAAGCTAATTTACTTTTAAACCCACACTTATTTCTAACGAGCAGCGTTAGAGGGACGATTTTGAAAGTTTAAGCCGACACACAAGCAGATTAAAGATGATTAAATAATCACAGATGCGAAATGTTTTTTTTTGTAAATGTGTTAGTGACAAACTTTTCACACCTTAGCAAATCGCATTTTTGGATGAGCTTGCCTAATATTTGAATGAGCACGTTCTCCATCCACACTTAAATCTGGTAGATGATCCGGATTACCGATATAACTGCAATTGCGGAAAGTGATGCTATTATCTCTACGCCCGCACCGCTTTAACCATCAGCTGTTCCTCACTCATTGGGGGGGGGGCAGGGGGGGCAGCGACTCGGTATCCACGTGACCGCAATCATGGCGGCACGAAAACCGACAAATTCAAGACAATGGGAAATAACAGACGGCGCAGTTTACATGGGATGTTGGCTATCAACAACAAGGCAACTCCTATGACTAATTGGGAATGGGACGCAAGCGTAGGATTGATCACCCTGTCGCTGGCCGCCTTTGGGGAGGGTGTATAGTGTGAAAGGCCGAAACACCCGAGGAACCAAAGGTTCACTACTGACGATGCGCTCCCCAAATTTCACCAGGCTCACTGTTCATGAATTCTTGGAAGTGCTTGCACAAAGGATAGTAACATCTCATCCTGTGTTCTTTGGAATCTGAATTCACGGATCAAACTGCACATAACAAATGATTTGGTGATGTTGCTGCTCCTGCCGCTGCTGCTGGCAGTGGTGCACAAGCACAGCAAACAAAAAAACAAATAACTCAACAGGTTCGTCAATGAGAACACAGTGGCCTTAAAAAGGAAAAAAAAACATGTCATAGGCCACGTTTCGGGGCAATTGCCGTTCTTCAGTGTTATTGACAAATACGTTGAGTTCATTCTCCACACGGGTAATTAATTAATGTTTGTTACCCTAAATGTACGTATGTACGTTTTGCGTGATCGGATTATTTTCGTTTTATCCGGGCCACCGCTCCACTCACGATGCCAGATAATGGACAGCTGGCTGTACAGTGGAACTTTTCCCGGCTTCTGTCACTCGAGTCCGAGCGACGATTAAAAAAATCACGACATCAGGCTCACGGGTTGTGGGGTCAAAGTGTGGGGAAGCTCCCACCTCGTCCAAGAACAACTTCCGGCCTGTTTGGAAAGAGTAGGTCAAACGCCCTCCCAAGCACTCCCTAACCCGAGTCAATAACCTGCTGTCGTTTGTGTTGTTGTTTACCAGGGGCGGTTTCTTCATTAGGGCGATTGGGCGACGCACCACCAATGTCATTCAACCACAGAGTCACGCTAGCCGTCACTGTGCCTCTGGATATAGTCCAATCAGCGTCATGTCACGTTCTGTGGAGTACCGCCTCTTTTTGGGCGATTTCCCTCCGGCTGAGAATCGCCCCGAGTGACCCCATAGACTTACATTCAAAGATGTTTTTTTTCGAACGGGGGGCGCTGCAATGCATTCTCTACGACTTCCGGGAGGGCTCGCACTAACGTGCTTACGTTATCATACGTAAGCACGTTTCATCCAACAATATAATTTGTCGCCACCTAGTGGAATCTTTAATAAAAGAAACTTGAGTGGATTGTATTAATAGTGAGTATAGAAACAAACAAGATGTATTGTAAGAGTCACTTTATGTTTAATTAATATTAAAGAAGTGAAGTTGCCTTTACATGCTTAAGCTGTTAATTTATCCATTGCATGGGTGGACCTTATCCTTATCAATCATCCAGATATTTGCCCCCCCTGAGAGATTTTGCAGGAGCCGCCACTGTTGTTTACGCGAGACTGCGTGCCAGTTGTGCGGTGCTCCATGCCGTGGTTAATATTGGCACGTGCTTGGGCCGTGTCCCGCTCACCCACGGTGGCGGCACAAATACGGGCGACCTTGAGCCCGGTGAGACTTCTTTTTGGTTTTCTTGGCTTCCCCACCCTCCCCACCATGCCCAATTGTATTGCAACAGTGGCCATTGGCATCCAGGACGAATAAACGTCAATGCAAAGACATTGCCGAGCAGCGTGAAGAGAACGACGATGATGGCTTGTGAAAGAAAAGTGCCGTCGCAGAGAATGCTTGCAACCGAGATCCCTTCGTTTGACCTCTCGTCCACACGATGGATAGATGCCCGTCAGGTGGCAGAGCTGGAATTTCATCAAATTTGGTTGAGATTTTTAAAAAAGCAAAGCTTTTGAGTGTGCACGGCCAATGATGGCGGGCTCAGATCATCAATTTCATATTCAGATAATAGTAATAATAATTTCAACTTGTAACGCACCAAATACATAGCTATCTTAAGGAATAAATTATGCATTAACCACACAAACTTGTGGGGAAAACATGTAAACAAACACGCTCTGATAATATATGGGCATTGTCTTTGAAACTGATTGGCCTACATCAGAGACAGCCTTCTTTATGGCCTAGTCTCACCAGTGCTAGACCAGACAATGCCAATAGGTGAACAGGACAAGTATGTGCAGTTACATTTCGATTTAAAGCTTTCGTGACTGCAGGGATTTATATTCTTGGTTCTTTCGGTAAAGTCACGTAGAAGGGAAAACACATTTTCTTTCTGTGGTTTTCACACCTGATGATGATTGCTTGTGTTGCAATCGAAACGTCGTGAGAATTGTATTGTTTTATTTTTATTATTTTATTGTTTTCCCTTCTACGTGACTTTACCTAAAGAACCAAGAATATGTGCGGTTAATGCAGACTTTATGCCTTGAAATAGATATCTATTTGGTCATAATAAAGGTTTTTGGGTCAGATCGCGTTATTTATAAATGTGTCGTAACCCTCCACCACCTGACACGGCCAAACAATAAAAATGTGTCACGTTTTTCAAAGGACAAAATAATTAACTTCTTTAGCCCACCGGTGTGTTGAAGAGAGAATCAACAGCATTTAAAAATTTGAGTAGTACGCCGTTTCGCTGATAATTACAATCAGCTTCATCGGGCAAGAATGGTGAAGCTTTTCTGTTGCTTCCGGTCTTAAATAGAGCAGCATCAGGGTGACGTCATCATTTAATTCAAGTCAATCTGGTGCAGTGATTCGAGGCAAAGAGGGGGAGGGTATTGTAATGATATAGATTGGTAATCATTCAATTGTTATTCATTGGTATGTGTTTCCCTTATAAGGAATTGTAATTGTATTTATTTAATAATACGCTTCCAGACCGCACTGAGCCTGTAGCTGTCAGAGCGATTGAAGTTATTTCTGTTTGGTGTTTATTTGTCTATTTGGTGTTTGAACATCTTAACACCTCTTGTTTTTTGGCCAGAAAGGGTAAAGCCGATGCTTATTTTTTCATCATTTTGATAATGGTAAAAAAAAGTTCCCGTAGAGATTGCAACGTGCCACTGCACAGTAGTCGTTCGATCTCGAAGAGCGAACGACTCAGAGGTGTAAGGAACCACCGGCAAGCAGGAAGAACAGCAAGGCGGTGAGCCGGCACTAGATTCTCCCTCCAAAGCTCTGCGATCCTCTCTATATTAAGGTGTTATCGGCAAAAATTAATGAGCCTTTACACGTGGGAGGAGACTGGAGCATCCGGAGGATACACACGCGTGCGAGGGGACAGCATGACTCGGAACAGAGGGAGTCCACATTTCCCTGTACCGCCTGCCCCTGGAGAGCCAGGATACAGTTCCTCCCCGACGCCCACGGGAAGGGAGCTTAAACAACATCTGTGTGTGATCCGCCAACTCTCGCTGCTGCCTCTACATTTGTGAGTTAGAGGCCACGTACATACCCACCACCACCACCTCGGCTAAAATATCTGCGAGCATTCACCAAAATATGGATTTTTCAATTGCTATGGGCAGACTCAATCCTGTCATAGAAATGTGGAATTTCTACCACTGGCTGCCAACAGAGTGCTGGATTAAAGGCCACGTCCATACCCACCACCACACCGGATAAATTACCTGCTAGCATTCAGCAAAAATATGAATTTTCCAATTGCTATGGAGAGACTCAATCCTGTCATATAAATCTGCTGCCAACACAGTGCTGCATTTACAGCGCACGTGCTTACCTACCACCGGCTCAACACTCTGACCCCTGACCCCAGCGAGACGACACCGGCCTTCATCGTAATGATTTACGTGAGTGCGGTCATTATTTTGGTAAACCAAGTACTGCGCTTTGTATTTATCCAATTCGTTGAATTCATGTAACTGCATTATCTCCGTAGCCACTGGGTGATACAAATGCAAACCCAAAACACCGGATCACGATAAATATTGCGATAAAATATATCTCAGTGACACCCCATTCATCTAGAGGTAATACCTGCTCTTGTCGAGAAATGCATTACGATATTGACCGTAACTTTCGCGTTCATTTTGCGTGTATCTGTTAGAAAGCCAGACCTCCAGAGAGCATGTAAAGTAAGCGTCTGGCTTTTGAATACAAGCACACGTGTGAAGTGTGTACATGACACGTGCATAACGCAGCGTGGACAGATGCGTGCCTGAAATCAATCGACACGAATCGAACCAATCAATGAGTATTTGTTTGCTATACATTTCCACATGATGATAAGCCGCTTCGTTTGAGCTATCATTTTGTGGGCCAGGGTCGCTTCTGAAAAAGTGCTATAGAGCTCAGCGGCCTTCAGAATCAGAATCTTTATTTTAGACCGGAGAAGGAAGAATCTGATGAGCTATGAAGCTCTTTTTCGCAGATGTCTAGTACGGGCGGGTCAGCAGTAGTTTCAATGAAAACCGTGTACGTGCAAAATTACTCATCACTAAATCCTCATCGATGTCTTATCTCTATAGCGCCTATTTCTTATCTAAATGTGTTCGCCACTGCGGCTGCCCATGGTTGGCGTGTCGCACCTTGGTGGTTTTCACTTTGTTGCCGGAGGAGCAGCTCCAGCCGGTGCGGTCCGGAAGCACCTTGCACTCCTCCCCGTCGTTGCACGGCTGCATGTGACACCACCACTTCTCCATCACGATGTACGCTGCAACGACGACGCGACACGGCACACAGAGGAGCCCTCGTCACGACGTAAACGCGACCAAAAACGCGACACGGCACGCAGAGGAGCCCTCATCACGATGTAGACGCGACCAGCGACGCGACACGGCACACAGAGGAGCCCTCGTCACGACGTAGACGCGACCAGCGACGCGACACGGCACACAGAGGAGCCCTCATCACGACGTAGACGCTGCCAGCGACGCACACAGAGGAGCCCTCAGTAGGGCCGTTGGTGGAGGCCGTTGGCCTCGCCGCTCTCCCTGTAACTCCCTGCAACTCATGAACGTTACACACAAAGTGCTTGCCACAAATGAACATCGATACACCGCTGATCTCGTCAAGGAGCATAAACCGTCACGCGAACTCTGGTCATCCTCGCATTCAGCGGCGGCTTGTGGCTGGCCATCGAACAAAAACTGTCACCGCATCGCTCGCTTTCAGATGCGCTTCCGTGGCCGTCTGGAATGCTCTTCATTCTGATATCAGGAATCCACTGGAGCTATGCACTTTAAATAATCTAGATTGAAAATTAATTTCTTTAGAATCGTTTTTTCGTGTTTAGTTTAGTTTGTTGAGTTATCAATCTTGATTTAAAAGTGCACGGCTTCCAGTGGCTTTCTGGAACTTTGCGTTCCAGGCGGTCGCAAAAGCGCGTCCGGAAAGTGCGCGACGCAGAGCCCCTCCGCTTGTTCCCGCAACAACAACCTGAAAAAAAAGAGACGGTCCCCTAAAAATGGCCAAGCCAACGAGGGCCCAAATGGGACGACGGCCTGGAACCAAACTCGCGGCGACGCAGCGTCTACAGCTGGCGGTCACGTATCAAGAGCGCCTCCCTTCCCCTCCCTACGACTGCTGGCGCGAGACCGTGATGAGCGTGGGAAGGCATCAGGGCCGTGCGATGATGAGTCGGCGATGTGCAACTTCACGAAGAGTGAAGCACGACCACACGGGCAGGGGGGGGGGAGTGGCCGGGGCGAGTGCTCTTGGGCCGGAGCGCCCACCGGAGGCCGGGCGGGGAGAACGAGGAAGCCGTTGTGGGCCACCTTGCGTGGCCGCCTTGTATCCTCGGTGCTGTTGAGGCCGAAGTCGACCGCGGGGGAGGGCCCAGGCCGCTGATCTGTGCGCGCTCTGTTCCCTGCGCGTGTGGGTTGCAAGGGGCTTTTGTACGGCTTGGCGCTTCGGCGTTGATGTCTGCGCCGCTCGAGTGTTGCGCGAACTGAACGTGTATTCATATTCTTTGGGTCTTTCGGTAAAGTCACGTAGATGGCTCAAAGAAAATAGCAAAAAAAACTACGACGTTTCGATCACAACGCATGATGACGATCGCATGTGTTGTGATCGAAACGTCGTAGTTTTTTGTGTTTTTTCTTTCAACCATCTACGTGACATTCCCGAAAGACCCAAAGAATATGAATTCCTGCAGTCACGAAAGCTTTAAGTCAAGATTTTGAACGTGTATTTGTTTTTTTTTCCCTTGAATGTCTTTGCAACTCGTGCGTCTGCAATGTTAGGGTTTCTACGCCGCAACTTTTATTTTTTACGAAGGTGCTCCGTGGGTCATTCTCGTAAAAAAGCTTACGGCTGAATGTCTCCGACCCACGTCAACAAATATAAAAACAACAACAATATAAAAATAACAACAACAATAATACAAAAACAACGGCAAGAGGCACGCACACTCGTGTTGTGCACGTGAATCGAAGCAAATTTGGAGCGCAATGATTGTGTAGCCCAATGCACTAAATACTGCACCATCGCCACCCCTGGATAGCCTTCACAGACTTGTGGGGCAAGTGCTGTTAACGAGCACCGATGAAGACCGGCACAGTCTACGATGGAGTGGGTTGCCAGCTATGTTTCCCCGGTGCTGATGTTTTACATACCATACCAACTCAAACTAATTTATTTTTAATTTACCAGTTAAGACCCACTCAGGTGTTAGCATCTTTTTTGAGACGCGACCTGGCCACAAATGATAGCTCAACGAAGTGGCTTATTACGTGGACATGTATATCAGTCAAACACTCTAAATACACGATGTTGATTCTAAATGTGGAGGGGAAAAGCCGGAGGATCCGGATAAAAATCCTCGCGACCACGGGGAGAGAGAGAGATACACGTAAACTCCAAATATACAGCAGGCGTCAGGGTCGGGATTGAAAGCACGACCTCCTGCATACCAGGCGAGGAACAGAACATCTCGCCACTGCATCGCCAGATGGGATGTTGGAGAGAGAGAGACACCGCAAACTCCAAATATACAGCAGGCGTCAGGGTCGGGATTGAACGCACGACCTCTTGCATACCAGGCGAGGGAGTTAACATCTCGCCACTGCATTGCCAGATGGGATGTTGGCGGATGGACGAGACCGCTGAAGCCACCGTGGCGATGACGTGATGAAGTCAGTTCACGTGCAGCAGTGTGACGGATGGTAGCAGCAAGATTGGAAGAGAGATGGCGATGGCCTGGTGAGGCCTCCATCCAGCAGTGGATAGATAATGGCAATGATTTTAGATTTAAAGCTTTCGTGACTGCAGGGATTCATATTCTTGGTTCTTTCGGTAAAGTCACGTAGAAGGGAAACAATCAAATAATAAAAATATTAAATAATAAAATGCTCACGAAGTTTCGACTGCAACACAAGCAATCATCATCAGGCGTGAAAAACACAGCAATAATTGTATTTTTATTATTTTATTGTTTCCCTTCTACGTGACTTTACCGAAAGAACCAAGAATATAATGGCAATGATGTGGATGATTATGACGAATTTCTTTATATGGTCCACAAGAGTAAATTGCATGGAGCACGTAAGTTATTCGCATTGTTTGTGAACCTTTGTTTTCACAAAAAAGAAATTAATATTTATCCCCTGAGGTGGAACTGACAAGTGAAATGTCTGGTCTCATCTGCTGAGGGAATCATCTTAACAACAACTCTATTGTTATTTTTCTTCAAATTCTTTTTTTTGGCTGTTCATGGAAAAGTAACCTCCCTGTCATTCCAGTTTCGGATGTGTGAATAGTTACCGTGTGAATCATCATACGTTTGACAATCATCTCACATTTTAATTAAAGTTCTGAAAATGTTAATTAAAACGGAGATGCCAATAAATAATCAAATGCTCCGTAATCGCTTTCACACGTAATTTTCACCATCACTTAGTTTGGAGCCTAAAAACTCGTAGTGAGAATATTTAACCAGGTGCTCTAGCACACTTAATTGTTTACCCTGAGGAGGGACCAGAGCAAAATTTTGGAGAGAAAAAATTAATGAGGAAATCGGGGTGTTTTCTTATTTTTAACGGAATGCTCGTTTTCTTTTTGTTAATCCATCACTCGTTACTCGACAGCAATTAAGGGCAGAAAACACACAAAAAGCAAGATGAACAAAACACAAGCAAAGCAACTGATGGCAAAGGCGCTCTCTCAACGCGTGTGGCTTCTGTCTGGAGCGGCATGCCCGTCGGAGGAACTTGAGGATAGCGTTGTGTTTTCCGAGACCCGCGAAAGTGCTAGCCGAGGTTCACATGATAATTGTTCTGATAATTGTTTTTTTACCCTTCTATCTGGCAACAAAACTGACACCTTTTTACAAGGAGTCATGTTTGCATAGACTACAATACCTGCAGTCATAATGCAAAAAAAAACATAACTCTGATAATATATGCACTGTCCTTGAAGTTGATTGGTCCACACCCGAGACAGCTTTCCTTAGAGCCTAGTCTCACATGGGTTGGACCAGATGACGCCAAAAGGCGCACATCTTGACCGCGTACAGTGGAAACAAGGTAAAACGTCGAATATCCGACTATTGTTAAACTATTTTTGTTTTTTACTAGGTAAAGCCCAATGACCAATATAGCTCTTTTTTCAGAAGCGACCTGGCCACAAATGATAGCTCAACGAAGTGGCTTGTCGTTTGGAAATTTATAGCAGCCGAATACTCTAACCGCACGTTCATTATAAATGTGGAGGAAAAAACTCGAGGACCCAGAGCAAAATCCACGTGACCACGAGGAGAACACGCAAACTCCTAATATACAGCAGCAGCAGGCGTCAGGGTTAGGATAGAACCCACGACCTCCTGCACACCAGGCGAGGTAGTTAACATATCCTAGCCACCGTGGTGATGATGAGAGAGACACGCAAACTCCAAATATACAGCAGCAGGTGTCAGGGTTGGGATAGAACCCACGATCTCCTGTGTACCAGGCGAGGTAGTTAACATATCCTAGCCACCGTGGTGATGATGAGAGAGACACGCAAACTCCAAATATACAGCAGCAGGTGTCAGGGTTGGGATAGAACCCACGATCTCCTGTGTACCAGGCGAGGTAGTTAACATATCCTAGCCACCGTGGTGATGATGAGAGAGACACGCAAACTCCAAATATACAGCAGCAGCAGACGTCAGGGTTGGGATAGAACCCACGACCTCCTGTAGACCAGGCAAGACAGTTAACATCTCGCCACGGCAACACCGTGGTGCATATCCACGCTGACCAATTAAAGTGTTTTCTCCAACTCCGACCTTTTCACAGGCGGCCACGCGCTTTCAATCTGACGCACAGTCGTCCATCCCTTGCGTGCGGTGATGCACTTCCTCACATTCTGAGCAGTTTGCACGCTACTTTATCCAGCGACCACCTAGGGAACGTGCCAACGTTGGTCCAACGTAGAGATGCGGTTGGAAGCGTTGGACCCATGGACGTATGTACGTTGAATTTATTTCGCACCGTACGTAGTCAACCATGCTAATCGCAATGTCGGCCCAATGTTGGACAAACGTAGACTGGGCTATCTGTGCAATGGTATAGCTGATAATTATCGATAGATGTTCACGTAACCGACCTTCTCACATCTCCGCCTGTACCTCAGTTCCTGTACGTGCAATTCTGCTGAACATTTCTATTAAATCTTATCGTATTAAACTGTAAGTCCATGTTTTTTTTATTGAGGTGCATTAGATGAGAAACA